ACATTTACTTCCTGGCCCTGAACTGTGTGCTGAAATACAAAAGAAGTATAATACAGTGCATTTGCCTGTTAGGAATTTTACTTGACTTATACTTGGACAGCTGTCTGTGGCGCCATTAAAATTTTCATATACAGAGTTCTAAGACATATTTAATCTGGTGTAATTTATGACTAATTATAGGAAAATAATGACAGCTAGCATTCATTGAGTTCATCTCTATATTCAAACATAATACTGTTTTCACATGATAGACACCACAGTGTATGAATTAATGAATACCAGGTACTATGCTAAAGCTTTAATTCAATACCTAATTTAATTCTTAGCATCTATGTGTTAACTAGTATTATTATCGCTATTCTATAGATGAAAAGACTGAGGTCCTAATAGTTTAAATTGTGTCCCCAAACCACAATTGTTAAGTTGCAAAATGGCACTGGCATCCAGGTCTGGCTCAGTGCTCTACTGGTATGGAATGAAGAGTGTTGAGTTTGTGTTGATTAAGTTATTTGCTGGGTGTATGCTTCCTGTTTAGACTAAGGAAGAAATTATTTGCATAAATGTAACAACATTCCAGTGGCCAAGTCCCATGCCTGCCCTCTGTTAGTATCTGTCCTGAGTTCCATAAGCAATCTCCCAATAGTGTTCATTCACCTCAAATAAAACAAAATGGTATGGGAGGGGGGAGGCAGTTAGGGGAAATTTGACCACTATGCCTGATGAAAGCCATTTTCTTGTAATCGGTGATTAATATGTCTTTTAAAAATTCATCTCTGCTTGCCTTTATAGAGCAATTATTAAGATTCCACTCTGTCAGATGCCCTGCTCTGTTAGGCAGGAGAAACTCATTTGGTATGAATTAGGCAGCAGAGAAAACCCTTGCTGAGTGGGAGTAACCTGTCACAACCTGATTTTCTCTGGTCAAATGACCAGTCTTGTTTAGTTAGTAGTAATGCCATTATATTCCCATTCAGATCCCCATGACCCAGCAATTGTTTTGGGAATGAGTGCAAAGCTATCAGACACCAACTACTATAATTAGAAAAGGAGAAAACAGACACATACCAGAGCTAGTCTTTAGGCTGGAGTGTTTACAGTGCCTTTTTTTTTTTTTAAGTTATGAAGCCTCTTTCTCAATTTCACTTCCTAAAATACCAATTGTACAGTTTAGGGGTTCTTGCATTCCAGTTTTTGTTACTGCTGTGCACTCTCTCTTTCCTTTTTTCCCCTATTTTAATCGAAGTACAAATTGCTGTCAGCACATCGAGTTCATGTGCCAGCCACATTCAGAACAGGGTGTTCTGTGCTCTTCAAAACAAAATTGCTCTAGGGCAGTAAGAGAACAATAAGTCAGAGCTCCAGTTTAAATGATGTTTTGCAGCAGACTGGGCTCACTTGATGTGGTTACACTCGGATTGCGCAGCTAAGCTTGGATAATTTGGTTTGGTTTAACTTTGTGGGACTTAGAGGACCTTCCTCCCTTTAAGTTATGTAGACTTTGAGTCAGGAGAAAATATTGTCTCTTTTTCACTTGTTTATTTCTTTCTCTACCAAAAAAGCCTTAAGTAGAAGCATCCTGTATGTACTTTTTATTCTCTTTGGAACGTCATAGATCGTTTACTTCCCATAAATCATCTTGGTTGAGATTAGCGACAGACCTCTTGAGCCCTAGAGACTAAGCTCCCAAGTGAGTCATGCTGCTTTTTATTAAATATTTATTAAGTGAGTATTTGCACTAAGAGATATGAGGTCAAAAGCAACCACAGGTCTTCCACAGCCAGAGCTGCCATGGTTTTCTTTGGTAGCAGTTGTTAAGACAATATACAAGAAAATAACTGGATCTGTAGGAACTAGGCATATCATCTGTATCTATCACCTAGAGAGGGGAGCCCTCATTATGGCAATGGCAATCTTCCTGTGCTCCAAGTGGTATGTGAATTCTTGTTAGCAATCTTATAGAACTTGTCACTCGTGTTCCAAGTTTAGAAACCAGTTAACCCAACAAAGATAGCCTTTGCTACTTGTAGATATAAAGAATCAATGGGCTGTATATACCCTGAGGCAATGATACCGCCTCTTGCTCTGATATTGCAGGTAACATCAATATTACATGGTGGTAGTTTTATGTATACAAATATAAACTGCTGTTCAGGTGTGGGTCTGTATCAGAATAAGATTTTATGGTACTCTAATAGGTAGTGACTGTTCAGGTCCAATTTTGAAGAATTAGATATGCCAGAAGAAAAAAAAATAGCCTGTATATAAGATAATAAGTATTTATAGGAGCAAGCACAAAAAAGTTCCCCTTCATATTAGACAGTCACAGACACTACTGGTTCCATCATTTATTGTCTCTTTCAGACAGACTAGTTACAATGAATGTTTTGTTTTCTTAATTATGCCTTTTTTATAGTTTTACTTAGCTTTGTTTTTTATTTTTTGTTTGTTTTGACTTGCTTACTTCACTTATCTTTCCCAACATGTTTATTAGTAGGCAGTCTTTTTATCCCTCTAATGATGGGTTATCACATGTAAAGAGAACCCTGAAATTATTTATATGATTTCAAGTACATACAAGCTGAAAGCCAGGCTAGGAAACTGACACACAGGCAGAAATCCTTTGCAGGGTCTGGATTTCCTGTTTTGAAAACACATTCAAACTTGATCAACCAAAAGCCACAACAAATATACTGATAATTTCCTCCCCTACTAAATGTGCTATCCTTTTGGGGTGGGGATAGGGGGAGGTAATACTTCTAACAATAACCCTCAGACCAAAAAAAATCTGTTAACATCCCAATACTTGAGACATTACATAATACATGAGTTAAAATTCATTTTGCTCAGCAATCTTTTTCATAAAAAGTATCATCCATTAGTCTAAATTAAATTTCTTGGGAAGATTTAAGAAAATTTAGGTATGCAAACTTCTAAGAACTCTCAACCCCTTTAGAAAATCAACTTTTACTCCAGTAAAAATATCTTAAGCCTTAGACTCCCTCCTGCAGAACCTAATGTGGATGGAATTGAAAATAGTACATTGAATTTATTTTTAAAATATTTCCAATTCAGAATGACCTTCAATTTGTTGCAGGTTGAATGTTTTATCTAGAGCATTCCAAAAATGAATATAATTTACAGGGAAACATTGCATTTATGAGTATGGGATATAAAACAAAATACCATATACCAACCCCACCCTGAAAGCCAGTCTAGCTCCTGCTGTCACTTGAAGGAACTGACTCAAGATCCAGGCCTCTCTAGTTTACTCCAAGCTTTTTGGACTCCATCGTATATTTGCAATGGGAGCAAATCATTAATACTACCTGTATTAATCCTAGTGAGTTAAAAAAGGGTAGAGAGCTTTAAAGCATATATATCCAGGCAATATTTGGGTTTTTAGTATGTATACTAACCACCACTGTTTACTCTTCATAGTTTATCTCATTTCACAGGCCTAAGCTAAAGATAAACCCATCAAATGATGGGTTAGCTTTGAAGTTGGTTTCAGGCCTATGTTGAGTTATATTATTCAATTCTCTGGGTCATAGAATCATAGAATTTTAGAGCTTTGAGGGACATTTGAGGTCATGTAGTTCAAACGTATAATAAGTTGTAATTGAAAATCACAACTATTTTGGAAAATAATAGTTATCTTATTGGATGTGGGATACGTTTAAGAGAAGAGTGATTTTTAGTTTCTCTAAAGCAAATTATTGATCCAAAGTTGATCATCCAGTATTAGAAAAGAAGTGTTTTAGGAAACTGCCATAGATTTGAATATAGGCTATTATATTACAGAAGTAAGAATAATGAATTTTCTCATGAAAGACAAATTATTATATTCCCTGGTGAATGTTACCCTAGCTTATAAGCCATCTGTTTTTCTTACTGAGTCAAAGACTGGAAGGTATAAATATTCGTAATGTTAACAGTAGTTGGAAGGTTTCAGAGAATTGTTTTTCCTAGAAAAATGAATCTAACCTATCAAGGAAAAACAATGTGTATATGTATTTTTTCTATTTTGTATTAATATGAAAGCCTCTTATCTAATATGAAATAACCCTGGGAATAAGCTCAATGAATTTGGGTGGCCTGGGGACTTAGATCCCAAGAAATTGAGCTTTTCACTTTACATTTCAAAAGAGGTTGTTAATAATAATTTGATTTGTAAAGTTATAGTATACTGTTGATTCCTTCACACTTTAAATTTATTACTTCCACTAAGGAAAACAGCTTAGTTACTTATGTGTTTCCTTTGGATTTTTCATTTTTATTCATATATATTTGTGAATGTGATTAGGACCCTTAAAGAGGAAAGAGCTTCAGTTAACCTTGGTATATTATTAAGGAAATAACCACTCAGTTGGGTTCTTGCCCAAGAATCTGAAGTCAAGATACAGTTATAGAAGGTCATTATATATTTGATATTAAGTTTGTGGCATTTTAATAATTATCTTTTATGTAATCTGTCTTGACCCTGTGTTACAAGTAAGGAAACAGTCATAGGCTTAGAATAAACCTATGTTCTAGTTGGATTTTTTGTTTGTGGGGGGGGGGGTTTGTTTTTTGGTTTGGGGGGTTTTGTTTGTTTGTGTCAAGGATTGAACCCAGGGGTACTTAACCATCGAGCCACATCCCCAGTCCTATGTTTTAAATTTTAGTTTTCAGACAGGGTCTCACTATGAACTTGTGATCCTCCTGTCTCAGCCTTCTAAGCTGCTGGGATTTCAGGCATGCACCACTGAGCCCAGCTTCTAGTTGGTTTTATTGCCCACTAAGCCTCTTATTGATAAGGTTATCAGCAATTTCATGTTTAGCTTAAAACAGAAATATGATTGCTGGGTGGGCAAAACTGAGATGAGATGTAGCACTATGTTTCTTAATGAAATGAGAGAGGGGAAATGGTATTTGCTACATTGGTGGCCACTCACTCTTCACTTCACTGAATTACTGAGTCCTAAGGAGCCACTTTGTTGATTGTCCTGTCTCACCCTCAGTCCACCTAGAAGGCTGCTGTGGTGGAAGGATGTTTGATTGCAGAGATGTGGTATTCACTGTTGGTGAAGGAGAAGACCATGACATTCCAATTGGAATTGACAAAGCCCTGGAGAAAATGCAGCGGGAAGAACAATGTATTTTGTATCTTGGACCACGGTAAGCAGCATACCAGTTCAGCACACTGAGAAGGTATCTAAAGAACAAGGATATGCTTACTTTTTCATTCAGCATTTTGATATTTTCAGTGATGTTAATACAACAGTGGAAACATTCATTGAGTCAGGTCATAGTTAGTCATCAAGTAAATTAATGGACCTTATAGTATCACAAAGGTTTTGCAAGTATGTTTATTTGGTTGATGCATGTTAAGGATAATATTACCAGCCATGTAGCCAAGTCAGGCAGTTATCAGTCCTCATATGTAATTCTCTTGCCCCGTTCTCTTTTTCTCTGAATTGGGCAGAAGGCATTGGGAGTTGAAGCATTTGGATGATTTACTACCGCTTGAATTTGTGCCACATATTCTTATAGAGGCATCTCCCTCCTGTACCCCTGCAAAAAAAGCCTGTTCTTCCTGGATCTAAAGGCAGCGGAGATGACTCATTTTTGCCTAAATTTTTCCCATTATAAGGATATCCATTAGCACTTCCAAGCTTAGAACTATCAGACACTGACAGTCTCTCTTGTGAAAACATGTTTGGTATTATTTTTAGATCAAAAATTATACCATGAATCCAAGCCTTCTATCTTGAGAAATGAACCCCTGAGAGAAACCAGTGTGTTTTGATTCTATTTACATGAAAGTGCATCTGCTTATCTAATAATGTGTTTTCCCTGGGCTCCAAGGACTTTCATTGGTAGGATTTTGAGTTAATAAGACTCTTGATGACCTCCCTTGCCAATAGTTATCATGCCTTTTGTACTGTTGCCTTTGTGTAGCCTCTGTAGTAACACAGTGGCTTATTTACCTTTGTCCTAGCACTTGATCCATAATCATATTTCTCAGGTGATGTTTTGGTCATGCCACTACCCACTTGAGAATCCTTCCAAGATGTTCCACCATGAACTCTTCAAAGCCTTTATTGAGGCAGTAACACTTCTTTATTACTTTTTTTTTTTTTTGGTAATAGGAATTAAATCCAGGGACATGTTACCACTGAGCCACATCCTCAGCCCATTTTATTTTTTATTTTGAGATAGTGTCTCACTAACTTGCCAAGGGCCTCACTAAAATACCAAGGCTGGCCTTGAACTTGTGATCCTCCTGTCTCAACCTCCCAAATTGCTGGGGTTACAGATGTATAACACCATGCCTGGCTCTAATTACTTTTAATCTAGTATTCCAAAATTATAGTAAACTCGCTAGAAGATGGGATTTATATTTAATGTATGTTTGCATATTTAAGCTCCTTGAGGATAAGTTCTATGTATATTGTGAGCATATAATATATGAATCAGTTCATTACATTTTAACCTAGCTGATTAGTGGCAAAAAGAAAAGGAAATTGTCTTTATTTATAAATGCAAATAGTTCCTTGCAGGTTTAAACTGTTTGCTGTATATATCATTAATCGTTAAACCCTGCTCTGCAGCTTACCAACTATGTGCACTTGAACAAGTCACTTATCTCCCCTTCTGTAAGTAGGGATAACAGTGTCTACCTTATAAAGTTGCAAAGGACTAAATGAAGTCAGGCAGATACAGCACTTAACAAATTGCCTGGCACATTCAAACCCTTGGTGTATCAGCTGTCACTACTTTTGTGGTGGCTTTCTCTTCCATTTTACCCTTAGGCCACCAGAAAAAGGAGATTCTGTTTTAACACGTGGTAGGTTTTCCTGATGTTTTCAGGCATAAAAGTAGCAGACAAGTTTTTCATAAATTTTTTGGTATAAAAGTTTTTTCATTACATGTATGATTATACTACTGGTGTGACTCTTTACCATATATAGCCAGAGGAATGAGAAATTGTGCTCCATTTGTATATAGCGTGTCAAAATGCACTGTCATGTATAACTAATTAGAAAAAATTTTTTTAAAAAGTTTTTTTGTATGTTTTATGGCTATGATTTGCATAATTGGAAGGAACATGTTATTTTCTGTTCAAAGTGATGGTGTGCAAAGTGTAATCTCTGCATATGCATTGCATAATACTATTCATGTATGTAGAAAACCCTTACACACCAAACATGTTCTGTTTGCATGTAACAAGTTTACTTGTCTTATTCAGATTCCCACTTATATAACATTATACTGAGTGTTGTAAATATGGCTGTTACAAATTTATGCTCTTAATGTCATCTCTATTTTAATCTCCATAAAATATCCAAGGCACTCTTTCTCTTTGACTTTGATAGACTTCTTGGCAAAATATTTTCATAATAAGAAATTCATGAAACACTTCCAAAGAACCCATTTTTCCCTCTTATTTTAGGTCCAAGTGTGAACAATTTTAACTTTTTCTCTTTCCTTCCTTTCCTTATGCTTTTGTCTTAAAACAATCCCAAACAAAAACACAGGCTGCCAAGAGTGATAGTCCAATAATGAGGCTGCATGGGTCAAAAAACTAAAGTTTCTTCAGGCCACACTTAAATCCTGGCTCTTCCACTGCCTTTTTGAGCACTTTTCTTTGAGCCTCAGTTTCTTCATCTATAAAAAGGATGCAGGGGTTGGGGTTGTGGCTCAGTGGTAGAACACTTGCCTAGCATGTGTGAGGCACTGGGTTTGATTCTCGGCACCAAATATAAATAAATAGATAGATAGATAAATGGTCCATTGACAACTTTTAAAAAAGTGAACCAAAATAAACCTTAAAAAAAAAAAAAAAGAAAAAGAAGCAGTTGGTAACAAGGGTAATGTGAGTAGTTCTTGTATGTGTACAAAAGCCTAATAGTCACTAGAAGTCATTATTTATATCTCTGCTCTCTGGAAGCAACCATTAATTCAAGGACAGGAATAATGAATTCCTTCTGTTACTGTAGCTCAGCTTATCTTTTGTTTAAGTCCTGGAATTCCATTTGTGGTATTTTAATTTTCAGTCAGATGAATTGTATGCCCTGGGTCCTTCTTTGCTTGGACTGAACTAGCATAATCAGCCAAATTTCTATATAATACAGACGTCAGGGTAGATGTTCCCAGAACTATTTGGTGTGAGCTTCTGCCTCTGTAGGTTGATGTACTCTACCTACACTTGATAGAATCATTTCATTTTAAGCCAAGAGAGAGTTATAGAAATAATCTCCTTCTTTAGTCTTCTTTAACCCCTTTGATAATAGGCAGGATTCTCTGATGCCTCCCTCTATCCAGTCCTCATACTTCCCACCACATGGACCCCATTTGTGAGTTCCTCTGAGGTAGGTTTTCTTACCCTCAGCACTATTGACATTTTTGGCCAGATAATTCTTTGTTATAGAAGCTGTCCTGGGCATTGTCGATTGTCGAACGTTCAGCAGTGTTCCTGACCTCTGCATAAGAGAAACCAGCAGCACCCCTCCAGTTGTAAAAACCTCAGAATATTTCTAGACTTTGCCCTGGGGAAGGGAGGATTAAAATTGCCCCGATTAAGGGCCATCAGTCTAAGGCAAATGCCGGATCATCTGTTGCATTTGTCCCCGAGTATTAGCACAGGACTCAATCATAACATGCTCTCAGTAAATAGGCTTTCAGTAAGTACGCCCCTGTTTACCTCATTCCCAGCAAATTAGAAATGGTCTTTTTTTACCAGATGGCAGAAACTTAATAGGAGACAGCTACATCTAAGAGCTCCAGATAGAAAAGTGGGCACCACTCCCTAAAATTGGCTACTGATGATTACATTCTTTTTATTTCTTTGCTGAAGATACCCTTTGCCCTGCTTTTAAAGCCACCACACCCCCATCCTACCAGCTCTCATTGTATGTCTATGCCTCTCTCTGTTCCAGTTGCACCTTCTTGTGTAACCATGAAGGTGAGTGAGTAAGCAGTTTTTTTTTTTTTCCTGGAAAATTCAGGCAAGGGGTAAAGATCATAGGACAGGCCCATTGTACTTCTTCAGTCCTGAAGGAAACTAGAGGTATTATCAACCCAATTTTGACATCTTTCAACCTATAACCTGAAAGTTTGAGTTTACTAAGTTTTTTATAATACCATTTCATGTACCAAGAATAGCTTGGCTTGTGGGAAGAGAGTATATTCCATTGAATACTGTCTTGATATGCTGGACCTTGTTCTAAATGTTGGGTACCAACTGAACCAGCCAGACAGCTCCACTAGAACTTCCATTCTAGCAGATGCGTGCTTCTTGAATATGTTTAATTTGTTAAAGATCTTAAATGATCCTAAAAACAAATTTACATATCCCCACCTTTTTATTCAATAAGATTTGGCTAAAAGGTATAGCATTTTATAATAGGATAGTTACAAAACTGTAAGAGAGTGTCTCTATGAGGTGCTAGAGCTGCTACTTTTAATTTATGTGTATATTGTATTATGTATGTTTCCTAGTATTCTTTTTAAAAATATTAAATACTGAGAGAACATATTTCTTTACTAATATGTGAGTCTTTCCCCTCATTTATCTGACTAGAAGTGGTACTATCAGAAAGTCAGGGTAGATGTTCCCAGAACTATTTGACAATAACACTTTAAAACTCAAAGCTCATTAAAACTTTAAAAAGCACCACTACAACAATTACAGTGACTATATCTCCTTTGTCTTTCCTGCTGATAAAGCTTAAGGAGAAGAGCCTAATGCCAGAAAGCTAATTGTAAAAACAAGTAGGGAAAAAAAGGCAATGACATTTACAATCACATTAAACAAGCTGTCCCAAGTAGTATAGATGTTGCATTATGTGTATGCAAAGCAGAAGAAAGCTGAATCTAGCCCAGTTTCTAAGAAAACTACAGTAGTGATATTTGGCACTGTATCTTCTGATCAATATCTTTTGTCTTCAGGGTCACTGTGTGTAACTTGCAAATGATAGCACTATGCTAATATGATACCTCAAAGTACCAAAGAAAGTGTCTGGAAATACACCAATTCTTTTAAAGTTTTATTTTTTACTCTCCATTTCAGATATGGTTTTGGAGAGGCAGGGAAGCCTAAATTTGGCATTGAACCTAATGCTGAGCTTATATATGAAGTTACACTTAAGAGCTTCGAAAAGGTGAGAAAATACCAATTTCTCTAAAATCACCATAAATTTCTTCTCCATCCACTTTTTATTTACTTTATTACTAGGTAATATTACTATAGATAGCTGGTGTTTATTTTTGTGTTGTGCTGTTCATTTTCAAGTTTGTCTCTTGTCTCCCACATTGCTACTAGAGTGTGGGACATCTGACATAGCACAGCTGATATACAACCAAGGACCTCAGTGTTCTTATTTTGTTCTATGTGTCAGCCTTTTTTTTTTTTAACTTTTTTGGGTAGAATCCAAGACTTGTTCCTTTATTTGTTCCTAGACTTGTTCTTTTTGTACTTTTTTCTCTGGATTGAGGACAAAAAGGTTCACGTACTGCCAAGAAGCTCCTTAGCGGTGTGGGGCGCAGCTTTCCAGGGCTGAAAGAATTGTACCTTTCACAGGAGTCACAAATAGACCTGACTGTCACTCTAAGTTATTATCCCAATTACCAGGCCTTGGGGGCCATCTGTCTGTGTGACCAGACACAGGAAAGAAACCTGCTAACCCTAGACCTTTTTTTCATATCTGTCAAAGTAGAAATGAGAGTATTTGTCAGTTGCCTTGGATTCCAGAAAAGTGTGTCTTGTTTGATGTAATTTCCAACCTAGGAGGCTCTTAGCAGCAGATTAACAGAACAAAGTCATACCTAGGCTAGGTGTGTTGTCATTCTCAGCAGTGCGCACCCCCCACCCCCGTGGGACCAGTGCCCCACCCTTCCTGGAGCTCCTCAGGGACTGCCTTTGTATTCTTGGCTTATTCACCCACAGTACCACCACCTCCTTTTTCTGTACATTAAGCTTTGAGCTAGAAATGTGACTATTTGTAATTTATCAGACTTGGAAAGGAAATTGTCCTGTGGGCCTATAACTTTGAGCTAGGAAAGTAAGGGGAGGACTGGTTTGGGTTTCTCCCCTATCAGTGATGTCCCTAATCATGACCCTCCTATTTTGTTTTCCTCAAAACAAACACATGCTCTTGTCACACCATCATTTATTGAGTAGCATTTTTGGAAGGCCTGCTAACTCTGCGCTGATCTTCCAGTGCTGTCCCATATCACCCTGTGGTTTTTGTTAAGGAAGGAGAAAATAACCTTTCACACATGGTCCTTTAGACCTTCAGCTTTCCTATTTCCCTTTTTATAGAGGAAGCCCATTCCTCTTCCCTCCTGTGCTTATTTGGAACCTTCTTACTGTGGCCTGCCACAAAGAGCCTCTGCTCTCTCTACTCCTTGAGTGTATTTGTGCAACATTGCCAGATGTATTGACACACAGGAAGGCATGTGGTGCTGTTGGGAGTAATGTGATTTCATTCTCTGCCTTGTGTTAAGGCTGTATTTATACTCCATAAAAACTGAAGCCAATATGAAAAATGCACAGGACCCTTGTTAATGAGGCTTTTAAATAACAGAGCTAAACGATTGGGAGGCAACATGAGTTGCCAAAAAAATTAGTATCCCCCTCATTCACTTAAAGTAGGAACAGGGAGCATCTATGACACCAGGAACACATTAATTATCTTTTAAATAGAATTTTACAGTTAGCCACTTAAACTTCACAATTCATATGCACTAAATAACACTTCTATTACCAATTTCCCTTAAAGATCCCAACAACTTTTCTAGTGACTTTTATGAGCCTAAATCCAGTTGTTGGTATGGAAAGTGCAGTTTCTTGATTTGTGTCTTAATGGTGGAGAGTAAAGGATACACACAATATAAACTAGCAGATGATGAACTCATGTGCTCTGAAGTGATTTTTTTGTGTGAGCTTTACCCTCCCAGTTATGTTTTCTTGAAATTCCCCAACTATATATTTACAAGCTAGATATATAACTTTGGAGGCTGTCGTATATCTGGTTATTTTATTTTACAATGATGAGAAAACTGCTTGCCCTGGAATTTTGAAAATTCAGTATGAATATACAACTCTGACTTAATTCCCATTTTAGAGATGAAAAACTAAGACTTGAGGGAAACAACTTGAAAAAATTATAACAGTTTAGTGGAAATGTTTATAGGAGGGATATAAGGAGCACTCGCCTTTATTGGATGGCCTCACCTTATCATTCTAAATGTGCATTCTCTCACAGTGCTCAGCAATTTATGTTCCTGTGTTTTGCCTGCTCGACCCTCTTGAGCAACACGAGTTAAGCCACAATCTGATCCTCATGGAAAGTGAGTTCTTAAAGCAACACAAAGAGAGCACTAGCCTCGCAGTAAACTGGCAATGGCACACAACTTTAACAGCCAGCGTCTTTTGAGTTTGGGTATCCTCTAGAAGTAGCTGCTGATTGTTCTTCAGGGCATCAGCTGATACTTTTCCTCCTGTACTCTTCTAACCACTGCCACAAATCTATACACAGGCCAAAGAATCCTGGGAGATGGACACCAAAGAAAAACTGGAGCAGGCTGCCATTGTCAAAGAGAAGGGAACGGTATACTTCAAGGTGTGTGAGCTTCTGTACTATCCTTTTTAGGTCAAAGAATTCACTCAAGAATCATTGAGTTGTGTTGATATTTCCTACTATGAATTCTTTCAACATCCTTCTTGGTAAGAATAAGCCTGAATTTTCACAAGTCTGCCATTTTTAGTATAAAGAATGGTGAAAAATAATGAATTAATATGGAAGAAAAACCCCAACTCTTGTACACATCATAATTAGATTATAACCTTCCATAAATGCAGACCGGGTCTGGCTTACACACCTACCATTTTACCCCACAAGTCCTAAAGCATTTTATTTGGTACATAGTTGGCATGCAATATGTATTTATGGAATGAAAAAATAATGAATAGAATTCACAGGAGTGAATTTTGTCATTTTTCTTTTTCCTATCTTAATAAAGTCATTAGGACATAAGACAAAAGGAAAGGAAAAAGAACATGCATAGATTTTTTTTCTCTCAGTGTTCTTATTTTATGTAATAATACTTGACATTTCTCCTGTTTTTTTTTTAATTTATATATGACAGCGGAATGCATTATAATTCTTATTACATATATAGAGCACAATTTTTCATCTCAGATATATATATTTTTTTCAGATATATTTTTTAAAAACAAAAAAATTTATTAAGTGTTAACTGTTCCTAAGAAATTATGTTACATTTGCTTATATGTATAGACGAGATAATTGTTTCCTTAAGACTCTTGTTTTAATAATACTTTCAACTGAAAAATATGTAATCTCTGGTTATTAAATGGAAAAGCAATTTTCACGTAAATATTCCAACAATAAATAATATATATTTAATATCTGTATTTTTATACATCCTACTTATAAATATTTCTATAACAGCAAATTAAAGATATTGTTTGTGATGTCAGCTGGTTACTAAAAAAGTCAAGCCTAGAATGGATGACACAATGTCCGAGGGCTGGTTATATACAGATTTCAAAAGCAATTGACAGGGCTGGGGATATGGCTCAAGGGGTAGCACGCTCGCCTGGCATGCGTGCGGCCCGGGTTTGATCCTCAGCACCACATACAAACAAAGATGTTGTGTCCGCCGAAAACTAAAAAATAAATATCAAAAAATTCTCTCTCTCACTCAAAAGCAATTGACAGGAGGGGTATTAATTGCTTCTAACGGCTAAGATGATCCCTGCACATTTGGTTTTGTGAAAAATCTTCAGAAATTCCTAAGTAATATGCATCATAGATTGCTTCTGAAAATACTTTCTTGTAGCATCTAGGAATGCTACAAGATCTTCCTTAGATCTTAATCCCTCAGCTGTAAGGAAAATCTGCGTGCTTTACCCATTGCTAACCCAACCCTAAATACATGCCTCCTCTGTGAGCAGAAAGGGTTTGGGGATTAAAATTAGAGAATGGGAATTCTGTCAAGGTTTCTTTCCTGGGTTTATGTTTGTTTGTTTTGTTTTTCCTGCTTCTTGCTATTGCCATTCACAAACACAAATTTAGTGTTGTTTTTCAACAGTATAAAGCAGTGATACATAAATATACTTTAACAAGTCTTTGTGGAGCATCTGCTATAAGACATGCTATTAGGGGCTGGGGATGTGGCTCAAGCAGTAGCGCGCTCGCCTGGCATGCGTGCGGCCTAGGTTCAATCCTCAGCACCACAAACAAAGAAAGATGTTGTGTCCGCCGATAACTAAATAAATATTAAAAAATTCTCTCTCTCTCTCTCTCTCTCTCTCTCTCTCTCTCTCAAAAAGACATGCTATTAGGTTTACAACCTTCTCTGAAGATAATAGAGTCAATGTTAAATCAAATGAAACAGAATTTTCTAAGAATGTATAATCAACACAAAAAAACAGTCAGAAGGCAACATGTATGGTTTTTGTTTTTCAAACTTTGAGCTTGGGTCATGAAATCAACTTAGTAGAAAGGTACAACAGAATTTAAGTTTCATTACATGAAACTTTTATTTTTTTAAGTGGCTAGTGGGTTGTAATATAAAACAGTTCTTACTGTAGGATGTAGTCAAATTTGAAGTCCAGATATTTAAATAATATGTATATTTATTTATAATTACTACATATACTAAAATGATGCATGGATCACCGAAAAGCATTGGTATGTGGTGGAATGAGATCTGAACTGGGAATTTGGAAAACTAGGCTTTATTGTTCTTCAAATGATTTAAAGTCATTTAAGGTCCAAGGAGATTTTATTTGCATGTGAAAAATGAGGGAGGAACATTATTTAATCCCCAAGTTTCTTTCCAGTTGTGTAAGTTTTTAAAAAATATTTATTTTTTAATTGCAGTTGGACATGATACCTTTATTTTATTTATTTTATGTGGTGCTGAGGATCAAACCCAAGGCCTTGCATGTGCTAGGCGAGTACTATACCGCTGAGCCACAACCCCAGCCCTCCAGTATGAATTTTTGTGGGTTTTAAAATTCATGAGAGTGAGTTTTTTTTTTAAAATTTCTGATTGAGGAATATCAGCTACTTGTACATTATTCAACCAAGATTCCAAATGGATTATTTTATACCCAGATAATATACAAGAATAAAATAGAAAGATTTCTATAAAATCCCTTAAGACCTAGGTGGTGTTTCCTATATTCTAGAGTCCATAAAAGTCTTTACTATGCAGTCCTGTACCACATATCATTTCAGTTAATGACAAATTGCTTATGATAATGGTCCCATAAGATTATAATGGAGCTTAAAAGTTCCTATTGCCTATTTATGTCATAGCTGTCGTAACATCATAGCCCACACATTACCCATGTGTTTGTGGTGATGCTGGTGTAAACAAATCTGCTCTACCAGGGGTATGAAAGTAAAGTATAGCACACACAATCATGTATAGTATATAAGTCTTGATAATAAATGACTATGTTCTTTGTCTATATATTTATTATCATTATTTTAGAGAGTACTGCTTTCACATATTTAAAAAGAAAAAAAAAAAAGTTAACTATAGAACAGCCTTGGCAGGTCCCTCTGGAGGGATTCCAAAAGCTTTGTTATCTATCATAGGATATGACAGCTCCATGCATGTCATTGCCCCTGAATACCTTTCAGTGGGACAAGATGACAAGATGTAGAGGTGGAAGACAGTGATACTGATAATCCTGACTGTATGTGGGACTAAGCTAACATCTGCATTTGTGACTTCAGTTTTGTTTGTTTTGTTTGTTTTAGACAATAATTTTATTTTACTTATTTATTTTTATGTGGTGCTGAGGATTGAACCTAGTGCCTTACACATGCTAGGCAAGTACCTACCAGTAAACTACAACCCCAGCCCCTTTTGACTTCATTTTTAACAAAAAGTTTTAAAAGTTTAAAAAAATATATTGTTTTAATAGGAAAAACCTTAAAGATTAAGGCAAAATATTTTTGTGTATCTTTTCAATCGTTTTGTGTTTTAAGCTAAGTGTTATTTCAAAAGAGTCAAAGTTTTAAGTTTATAAAGTAAAAAATGTTACAGTAAGCTAAGGTTAATTTATTATTGAATAAAGAAAAACATTTTTAATAAATTTAGTATAGCAAGTGTACCATACTGATAAAGTCTGCAGTAGTCGATAGTAAAATGTCTTCAGCCTGCATATTTACTCCACTCACTCACTCAGAGCAACTTTCAGTCCTGTAAGCTTCACTCATGAGATAGGCCCTATACAGATGTGCCATTTTTTAATCTTTTATATTGTATTTTCACTGTATCTTTTGTGTGTTTAGATACAGGAATGCTTACCATCATGTTACAGTTGCCTGTGGTATCCAATACAGTGGCATGCTGTGCAGGTTTATAGTCCAGGAACAACAGGTCATACCATATAGCCTAGTGCATGGTGGGCTATACCACATAGGTTTATACAGTACATTCTGTGATGTTCTCTCAGTGATGAAATGACCTGATCACTCATTTCTCAGAATGTATCCCCATCATTAAGTGTGTGTAGCTGAATTTTATGTATTTTTCCAAACTTCTAATAATCCAAGAGCTTTGAGGCTTTGGGCATTTGACTAGAATTATATCTACCAGCATAGTAAACAGCTTAGTAATAGTAATATTACTAAGCATAGTAATCAGAAGCTCTAATTGGTTGCTGATGACAGATAACTTGGAACAACATTTTTGGTAACAAAATGATGTCATGAAGTCATGTGTCATATAACTTTAACCTGAATATATATAGGGGATGGCTAGAATTCATGATCAATAGTAGAAAGCAGTACTTAAGTATCTGTATGATTATTTAAATCTGTTGCTTGTGAGCATCACAACTACAACTGTATATATATATTTATGTTTCATAATATTATGAACCTTCTTAAAATTACTGATCTTTGGATAAAATCTGGATCAGCAGTCACACATATGGAACATATTACTTTTAACATGCTCTTTGATAGACAAGATCTTTCAAAACATTAGTCCATTAGGGAAAAATTAATGAAAGATTCAAAACCACTGACCTAACACTTTTCTCCCAAAATGTCTCTGAACATTTTGTACCACTAGAAACTTCCCTGAAGGCACCTTCTTAATTATAGGTAAAGATCCCAGTAGTGATTCTAGTTTTAGTTGTAAGACTTCAAAATTATTGGTAGATAGTTTCCTGTATACAGTCCCTTCCCTTTTCAAGTTTCAGGGCAGGTTTCAGTCTGCCATACTGCCCTCCTGAGTCTCATCTTACCAGGGTATTCAACTTGGCATGTTGTGTACATGCAGAGATCAGATGTGTGGGTTAGAGCAGAGATGGGCTCTGTATTTCATGCCCTCTGCACCTTGGAGCTCCGTTTCCATTGACCTGTCAGTTTGGTTTATAACTTAGAGGGTAAATCTCTCCCCTTAGTAGGGTTGAACTGTTTCCAGCTTTTAAATGGGAATGGTTGTGCTAATTATATTGTAGAATCTCATTTCAACCTGTGAACACTAATGAAAAGAAAAAGGGGAGGGCTCTTCATTTGGCTCTGAAAATAATTATTAAGCATAGATAACATGAATTTGCCAGACATCATGCAAGCCAGTTCAACAAACATGATTTTTGTTCTCATAGCTGACAGTAACTCTTGGACAAGAAAGAGCATTAACTGTCTTACCTGCTTAGTATTTTTCTAACTTGGTGGCAGAGTAAGAAGTTTGAGGACATTGCAGTGACATGGGGTTCTTGCGCCCTCTTGTGAGCCTTGAGAAGAAAGCATTTCTAAAGCAAACTAATAAAGGATCACTATTCAACCTGTGAACCTTTTTCAGGCAAACAAAACTCTGCTAGTTTTTGACCACCCTTACTGAGTCAAGAATTAATGCCATAGACACAAGTCTAGGATTTGGGGTTTGGGGGAAAAAAAAACTCATAAGAAGAGTTCACCTTGTCTTTTTATCTCCTTAACTCTTAGTGCAAGGTTTAATTATATATATATATATATATATATATATATATATATATGTTGTAGTTGGACACAGTACCTTTATTTCATTGATTTATATGCGGTGCTGAGGATCGAACCCAGGGTCCCACATGTGCTAGGCAAGTGATCTACCTCTGAGCCAAAACCCCAGCCCCAATTAGTGCAGGATTTTTAAACCTCATCACTGTTGATACTTCGGGTTGGATAATTCCAACCCCAAAACCTTTCTTTGGGGCAGGGGCTGTCCTGTACATTCTAGGATGTTGAACATCCTCTCTGGCCTCTACCCACTCAATGCTAAAGGCATCCCCCCCACCATGAAGTTGTGGCAACTAATATATCTCCAGACATCCGCAGATGTAAGAGGGGGGAGGGAGGCAAAAATCACCCCCAGTGAAGAACCATATTATAGTACCTTGGGAGGAGGAATTCTGTAAAACAAAGACTAGATTAATTAGAAGTTGAATATATGAAAGAGGTTCCAAAAACTTTAAAAGCTCTAAATGTAAAGGAACTATTAAGAACTCTATTATGTGACTAAAAAGAATTTTTTTAAAAAAAGTATTATTTGTTTTTATAGAAACCATAACTTTCCACCATTCTGATGATTCAGAACCTGTTGAAGTGATAAGATTGATGTGTTTGTCCTTCTTAGCTTTCTTTCCTATAATAATATATTAGGAGATAATCAAAAAGTTAGTATAGTAAAGATGAAGGAGGAAGAAGAAACCAGGCATGACAAGGAAATGTCTAGCCTCACTAACCTGGATGAAATGACAGCTTTCTTTTCTACTCATACCACCATTTTTGCTCCCAATGATAGAAAAAGTTTTTCAGTTATATTTCTTTGACTTTAAAGTATACTCAGTAAACCTTTATAAAGGGCCTTTTTGTGCTAAACTCTGGATATTCCAAAAAAGATAGGACACATGCTGCTCATAACCCAGCAAGAGAAAAGGCTGTGCCAGAAAATAATAATATAAAAAAAAAAAAGCCAATCACTGAGACTGGTGAGGGCTTTATTCTCATTCATATTATTGTTTTTGTATTGCCCAAAAAAGTAGGAGGCCTAAGGCTGTGACAAAAGGTAAATATTGTCTTAACTTGATTGCCATTACAAAATAGCATAGCTTAGACGGCTGAACAACGGAAATTTACTTCTCCCAGTTGTGGAGACTGGGAGCCCAAGATCAAGGTACCGCCATGGTCAGTGGTGAGGGCCCTTTCTTGGATTGCTAATGACCTCCTCCTTGCTGTGTCTTCGCATAGCCTTTCCTTATCTGTGTGTGGGTGGGAAGAGAGAGGATGTGAACTCTGTCTCTTCTTCAGAGGGCACTAATCCCATCCTGGGGGGCCCCGCCTCAAGACCTCTTCAAGCCTAATTATTTCCCAAAGTCCCCATCTCCAAACACCATCACACTGTGAACTTGGAGTGGGAAACACAGTTTAGTCCATATCAGGTGTAATTTCATATCAAGAACTTCAGCACTTACCATGAAAAAACTTTGGTTTCATATAAATATTTTATTCATATAAATAAACTGCATCACAGCAGAGAGAATAACAGACTGATTTCTGTGCCCTTCTCCTGCCTAGTATCTCAGCATCCTTTTGCATGGTCATCTTACAGTAAAACTGATGAGCTCTGAGTTTTTCCTTTCCTAAATAAGTGACTAGTGGGAGGTGTTTGCGGAATGTAGCAGAGTCCCCATTCAGAACCCTAACCCTAACCCTAACCCTCAGGTGGAACTGGTCTACCTCATCATCATCACCAGAAAATCAACATCAAGCGTTCCTTTCTAAGGTGAGCTCCTTTCTTATGCCACACACTTGAAGTCCTTTATAACAGGAACATTATCTTAGACCTGCTTTGTCATTTTCCTCTTCTTAGTCTTTATTTCAAGGTTAGAGTACATATGGGGAGAGACAACTTGCCGCTTTAAAGTGTGGTGGGTCCTGGTGGAAGTCTTCACACTGTTCATTGGATTTAATGTCCTAATGAATCTGGCTGCTCTTCCAACATCTGTTAGGATATATCATCTGTTCCCAAGCTTATAATCATCTCCTGCAAAAGGAGAGCCCTTACCTATACTGATTTTCATTTGTGGATTTACCAGCTAGCATTCCATTTCATTTGTCTTACAGTAACAGTAAGCACAATCTCACAGCCACTGTCTCATACCCTCAGTTTCTTGTATAGAGAATATACATATGTATTTTTCCACTCTTGTTTTGATTATTTACAATTATTAGAATTCTTATCAAATAAGAGCAAAAATGAGTAGGAGATTTTTCTCACATAGTTGACACCTGTGTTGTTTTATAGTTATTCATACTGGAGGCTGCTAGCCTATAGGCCCATTGCCAGCAACAACAACTAGAGCCAGCTATGGGCCAGCTCTGACCATTTCCTGTATTAGTAAAATTTTACTAGGACTTGACCCATCTATTTACATATACGTTGTAATATAAATGTAAAGAACTGCTTTGGCAGTCTCAAGCCTCAGCCCCAAGTACCAGCAGGACTACATCTTCTGAACCTGTAGAACAGGCAGAGGCCACAAGTAAAGACTGCAGTCATCTGGCAAATGGACCAAGCAATGGCAGCTCCTCCCGTCAGAGGACGTCTGGGTCTGGATTTCACAGGGAGGGGAACACAACACAGGATGACTTTCCTTCTTCTCCAGGGAATGGTAATAAGGCCTCCAACAGCTCAGAGGAGAGAACTGGCAGAGGAGGTAGTAGTTACGTAAACCAACTCAGTGCGGGGTATGAAAGTGTAGACTCTCCCACGGGCAGTGAAAATTCTCTTACACATCATTCAAATGACACAGACTCCAATCATAACCCTCAAGAGGAGAAAGCAGTGAGTGGGAAAGGTAACTGAACTGTGGGTTCCCGCCACGTTCAGAATGGCTTGGACTCAAGTGTAAATGTACAGGGTTCAGTTTTGTAATATTTTTCCAGCAAATTTTTATACAGTGTCATTTAATTTGGGAGAGGATACTGTCCAGAAAGTTGATGCATACTTTTTGTCACAACTTGCCTTTTTATGGGTGTGTTTTTGTTTTGTTTGATTCTTTTCTTTTTCCCCTTTCTTTTTTTTTTCCCTGGCTTCAATACCTCTGCCACTTTGGAAATTGTAACAGTTAATTACTTTGAATGTTGCTAAAAGGACATTTTGTGTAGGGTCAAGTTATTTTTATATGAGTTAATGTGAAGTTGTAAATGGAAATCTTTCCTTAAAAGTATAACACAATGATGTCTGTATAAATCTGTGTCTCTAGAACCCGTGCTGTGTAAGGGCATTCTTCCTCATGCTGTTATATACTTCCGCACCATTCAGACTTGTCAGAGTAGATGTGGGTTTATGACTGCCAAGTATGCCCAGTACCGTAGATTTTTATCATTAAAAGTTGGACTTGTTGATGGAATCCTATAGTAGTTTCAGTGTTAGATACAGTTTTTTCCACCATACATCTGTGCATTTTCTCTTTAGGTGACTGAATGTTTAAGATATTTGTGTGCATAGTTAACTCAATTTTTATGAACTGTTGTATCCTGTTAATGCAATATTGCTCTGTGACTCCAGTATATCTTACCTGTACTGACCAAACCTAAATAAAGATTTTTATTGTTAAAAAAAAAAAAAAGAACTGCTTTGGCACTACAGGTGACAGCATTGAGTATTTGCAATAATGTCTGGTTTGGGTAGCTTAGATTTGCTGTGTTTGGACCAGTACTTACCATATTGCAGTATTTACTATGCACTGCAAAATGTCAGGAGAAAATGGAAAAGTAATTTCCTTTTCAGTAAACTAAACCGCTCACTGTCCTTTGAAAGACTGATGAATATTAGCTCCAAAAAATATAACCCAGAAACTGGGATGCCATCTTCTGACAGGATGTATCAAATACCAGGAAAACAGCACTGCATCGTGCTAGTGCCGTGTCTGGGCCACCTTGAAGGTTGCTGGGCTTCCACAGGAGTGGGCACTTACCTAAGAAAAGAAAGGATCCAGACCAGGGTTCAGGTGTAAGTGGTTCTGCTGCGAGGGTTTGGCTCTCTGAGGCAGGATTGTGCTCACACCTCCTTTGTATCCTCTCCAGAATGAAATACAAGTAATCACTTGCTTTTTTCTCTTAGGGAGGCAAGTACATGCAAGCAGTGATTCAGTATGGAAAGATAGTATCCTGGTTAGAGATGGAATATGGTCTATCAGAAAAGGAATCGAAAGCTTCTGAGTCATTTCTGCTCGCTGCATTTCTGAACTTGGCTATGTGCTACCTGAAACTTAGAGAATACACCAAAGCTGTGGAGTGCTGTGACAAGGTAAGGTGTCTCTGTGAGATGGACTTCAGATAGTCCAGTTCTTCTTCTCTGTATCCGTACATGGTCTTCTGAAAGAAGATGTAGAATAACATTGGTCATATAATTATGTATGCACATAGGATAGCAATACCTGATTTGTTCTACTATCTTTCCTATTCCCATTCCCCCTCCCTTCCCTTCATTCTCCTTTGTCTAATCCAAACTATTATTCTAATTATTATTATTATTATCTATTATTCTATTATTCTAACTATTTATCATTCTCTACCCCCCCCCCTTATTGTGAGTTAGCATCTGCATATCAAAGAGAAGATTTGAACCTTTAGTGTTTGGGGATTGGCTTATTTCACTTAGCATGACATACTTCAGATTGAGACATAGTTTTATGAAACAAAAACATCTTTCTATATTTAGTTAGTCCATCATAGAGCTCTCCCTTATTATTTTTAATATCAAAAATGGATCTTTTAAAGATATGTTGTATGTCCATCATAGTTTATTTAACCAATCCCCTTTGGAAGATTTCCAGGTTTTTGATATTATAAATTATACAGCTTCTCTTTGCATATTGTTTTTTGTCAATATTAGTGGCAACAAAAATTTTATTTATTGGCCATTTGTATTTCTTCTGGGAGTTGCCCATTCATGTCTTTTTTTTTGTAGTTGTCAATACCTTTAATTTTATTTGTTTTTTTTATGTGGTACTGAGGATCAAACCCAGGGTCTTACACACGCTAGGTGAGCGCTCTACCGCTGAGCCACAACCCCAGCCCACCATTCATGTCTTTTGACTAGATTTTCTGAAGCAATCTTTTTTTTTTTTTTTTTTAATATTTTATTTACATTTTAGTTTTCGGCGGACCCAACATCTTTGTTTGTATGTGGTGCTGAGGATCAAACCCAGGCCACACCCATGCCAGGCAAGCGCTCTACTGCTTGAGCCACATCCCTAGCCCCAACATTTTATTTTTTTATGTGGTGCTGAGGATCGAACCCAGGGCCCCGCGCATGCCAGGTGTGCGAGTTACCACTTAAGCCACATCCCAGCCCTTCTGAAGCAATCTTGATTGAAGCAATTGAGTAGTATCACTGAGTAACACTGTTAACCCTTTGTTCTCTCTTGTCTTATAATTTTGTTGATTATAGTTTTATAAAGTTTTAATACTTACATAATCAAATCTGTCATTTCCTTTCTAGTGAGATAGTCTTCCCCACCTTAACATTATAAAAGTAGCTCATTTTTATGTGGGTTTTTTGTATGTAAGTATAATTGTTCTGGGATTAATTTTGGGGTTCATGATGTAAGGTAAGTATTTAATTCTTTTCTGTGTAGGTGGCCACTGTCCCACCCCCACTCATTGTAAAGTTAATCCTTTCCTCATTGATGTATATCATTTTTTAAATGAATCTGTTTTTAAATGCTTTGTTATGTTTCACTGAACACTTTGTCCATGTACTAACAACCAAACTTTTTTTTTTTTTTTTTTTTGGTACTGGGGATTGAACTCGGGGCACTCAACCACTGGGCCACATCTCCAGCCCTATTTTTTATTTTATTTAGAGACAGAGTCTCACTAAATTGCTTAGTGCCTCAGCCTCCCAAGCTGCTGGGATTACAGGCATGTGCCACTGTGCCCAGCATGGCCTGGCCCAAATTTTTAATTTCAGTAGTTTTATAGTATATCCTTTCTGCTTGTCCGATAAGTCGTTTTTATTTTCTTTTTCTTTTTTCCCCAAAAGTTTTTCAGCCCTTCTTGGACATTCATATATTCTAATGACCTTAAAATTAACTTTTCCAGGGCCTCCTCCCAAATGTCCTTGGGATAATTCTAGAAATTACATTAAATACAGAAATTAATTTGAGTAGTATATTAATTTGATCATTCTATAATTGTCTTGAGCTCCATTTTTTCAGTTTCCATTTCCCTTGATCAGAGGGTTTTAGTAAGCTATTTATTGAATTTCTTCTTCTTAAAATCCCCACAAGTAAGAAGGGTTACATTCATCCATTCTAAAATATAGACCATCTGTTTCTAGGCCCTTGGACTTGACAGTACCAATGAGAAAGGCTTATACAGGAGGGGTGAAGCCCAGCTGCTTATGAATGAGTTTGAGTCAGCAAAGGGTGACTTTGAGAAAGTGTTGGAAGTAAATCCCCAGAACAAGGCTGCAAGACAGCAGATCTCCATGTGTCAGAAAAAAGCAAAGGAGCACAACGAGCGGGACCGTAGGATATACGCCAACATGTTCAAGAAGTTTGCAGAGCAGGATGCAAAGGTGTGTGCAGAACCCACTTGCCTTCAAGTATATCAAGAACTGACCTTGCCCCTTTGGATTTTCTTCTAAGAAGCTTAAGTGTAAGGGACAGGTTCAGATAGACAACCTGGGAAGCACACGGAGAGGAGAAATTACTTCCATTCTGATCTGAGGCTGGGTTTGTATCCAGAGGCAAGGAGGACTATTCCACTCACCAAAGGCAATGATTGTGAGGTTCCTGGCATATCCATACCCTCATTTCATGCAAGAAATGAGGAAAATAAATTCCCTTGAGACATACTAAAAACCATCAGGTTTTTTTTTTCCCCCAAGTAACACTTCCTTGCTGAGACTTCCATTGTTCACAGGAAATGGGTATTATAGTAACCCCACCATTATGCCTTTTACCTTGGCAGTAACCTGGCAAATGTGCTAGGAAAGATCTGTTGGGAAAGAGGTTTGCCTCCCCTATACCATAGTCATTCTCTGGTCTTAATTTCATCTTCCACTCCCCAACCCCACCACCACCACATGAACTAAATTATCAAGAACTGCCACCTGCAGCAGCCTACTCAGTGAAAGAAAAGGGAAAGCTCCTACTCCAGCTGTTGGTAGCAGAACCCTGACTTACTCAACTGGGCAACTAAATAAAGTCATTATAATACACTCTTACTGTGGACCTGGTAAGCAGTCCAGAGGAGCCAGAAATTTACATTTCTTTATTCTCTAACCCTCATGATTTCTTACTTCTTCCTCAGGAAGAGGCCAGTAAAGCAATAAACAAGAAGACTTTAGAGGGCGTCACCAATGAAAAAGGAACAGAAAATCAAGCAATGGAAGAAGAGAAAACTGAAGGCCATGTATGACGCCACGCCAAGGAGGGAAGAGAGTCCTAATGAACTCGGCCCCTCCTCATTGGGCTTTTACCCAGCTCAGGACTAAACAGTGTTTAGTGTAAAGTTTGTTATAGTCTATGTGATTCTGGAAGCAAATGGCAAAACCAGTAGCTTCCCCAAAACAACCACCCTGCTGCTGCCCAGTGGGTCATTGAGTGGGTGGCGTGGGACCACTCCAGGTAGAACAGAACAGAAAGGCTGTTGTCGCCAAGAGATTGAGCCAACAGCTGAGTCCATCTTGTTTCAGTTTGTCAACCTTCATATCCATCACAGGGTCCCTGAAGATAATCCTAATGATTTTGGGCTGTTAGATTTTACATTTGAATTTTAATAGCACTGCAGAAACCTTTTTTAAATATGCTTAATCAATTTCTCCTTTCCTATAGGTGGGTAGGTCGAGGGAAGGAGGGTGAGCTGGTTTTGTTTTTTAAATGACTAAAGTGCTGCAAATACAACCTATTGCATTTGTAACCAACAGAACCCAAAGGCAAGAGGTCTGGAACCCTTCAGTTCTAGAGCAGCATCACATACTTGAGAGCAAGAACCTGGGAGGCCATGAGCTTTGCTGACTTTGCAGCTTCCCAAGCTCCTTCCTCTGCCAGCCTCATGTGAGTGTGGCTTTCTGCCACACCCTTCCTGCCCTGGGCAAGTCATTTTGTCATTCATTCCCACAACACCCTTCATCAATGGTAACGAGCAGACAGAGCTTCTGGATTTGCTTTCCCTGTTTTGGATGAAGTTTTTGAGATGCTGAAATGTGAAAAGAGCCATCAAAATTGTGCTTTATTTTCCCTCCCCATTCCTTTGAGGAAACATTGTTAGTATACCTTACTTCCTGCAGCATTACTAACATTCAGCTTCTGTTCCCTTTCAAAGCCTTGCCATTAAGAATTTAAGACTTGTAATAGCTTGACCTGGAGTGGATTTATTTACATATCCATTCAGTATAATGCAGCTTTTTTGTCTTTTTTTTTTAATTGCTCATAAACATATGTATACTGGCTTATGAAACTGTACACTCCTCTATCATGAAAAAAAAAAAGTTGACTTTTTACTACTTAGTACCTTAATTCTTAAAAAAAAAAAAAATTATGGGGTTGAAAAAAATAAGTAGTTGTTGCTCTTCTACATTAAGGGTTTTACTGGCAGGTTCACCAGGCAGATGCTTCTATCCTCCTGCACTGGTAGCTTCTTCCTTCTGGTGTAAGCTGTAAAAGAGTTGAACAGCTTCCCACTAAGAGGTACATCTAGCCTAAATCTCCAGTACTTGGGCATTAAATTAGAGCAAGTCTTAAGACAAATATATACATGTAGTAGGATTTTAGTTCTTTTGGGTAAATAAACAAAGAAACACTCATGGGAATGCATTTGGCAACCTAAAGAATAGAACATCTCATTTCAACCTAAATCTAGAACATCTCATTTCCTTAAATCCTAAAGCTGTTAGTTACATTTTGAATTAGTTATTCTTTTTATGCCGGTTTTAACACTTTCATTATTAGGTTAGGACCTTAAGACCTAAAAAATCAGGTCATTTCCTTTTATTTTCCGTGAAACAAATAGAAATAAATTGTGAAGTTTTGCCTTTAATAGTAAGTAAAACCCCTCTAATTCCTCATTTAGGCTTTTGTCTTTTTTTATGTAATATTTCTTTTAAAGGCCCCAGTCTTACCTAGGAAATATGAAAAGCAAAAGTCAATTTTGTATATTTGCTTAACTGCTTAATATTTGTAGCTCTGTTGACTAGAGCATGAAATTAGTGAGGCCAAGACTAAAATTTGAGCCTAGCTTTTTATAGGTAACAAATAAGAAAACTACTCCAAAACTAGATGACCCCAGCCAGCTGTGTCCCCATTGTGCTGTGGGCCAGCAGGGGAACTGGCCAGTGTGTGGAGAGAGAGGTGGGGCACAGATAGTTCCAATCAGATGACAAGGGGCTGTGTGAGACTTCACATATTCTTGTATCAAACTCAGTAACCTTAAAGTGTGTAGAAACCAGAAGATGTCTTGGAATCAATCACCTTTCAGACTGTATCTGGAATGGTGAGGCAGCATAGGATGAATTTTTAAAACTGGCTTTTTAAAAAATTACTTAGAGGGCTGGGGTTGTGGCTCAGTGGTAGAGTGCTTGCCTAGCACATGCAAGGCCCTGGGTTCGATTCTCAGCACCACATACAATAAATAAAATAAAAGTATTAAAAAAATTACTTAGATGAACTTTTGTGTTCCTTAAGTAAATTTTTAAAAATATTTCCCATTGTTCTTAGTTTTACTTAGTCTTCAGGGAATACTCTGGTTGGAAAACTATGGTGGGGGCCAACTTGAAGAAACAAGACTTCAGAGACAATATTGCTGTGTCCTCTCACCTGAAATAACATTGGACTGAAGGCAGTGAAATGATGCATCCTTGTTAAAATGAACCAAGTAATTGGAAAAATAACAGTTTTTTTTTCCCATTAACTATTGGCTATTCCACCTTTTAACTGATTTTTACAGTAGGTTCCATTTGGAAAATGAAATTTAATTGTGACCTTTAATAAATATGTGAAACATAAGTAAGCATGTCTAGGGTGGTCTCTGTTGAGCATGTTTTTCCTTTCTCAAGTAGCAAATTGTGTTGGGTACTCATCCTTACATACTCTGAAGGCCTAAAGAGATGGTGGTGTACTCCTGCAGAAGGTGGTATGGTGCTGGGGTAGCAGTAGGAACTTCAAGGCCAACGTAGGTTCCAGGCTCCCTTTATTCTCTTTATTATTTGCCTTATCTCCAGATTTGTATTATGCTCCTCCCAGTTGATGTCAAATTATTTGATAGTGAAATAATTTCCTTTATCTGCATGGTTTTTTTCCTATGCAAATAATCCATACTAAGATCTTCAGCATGAGCCAGAGCAAGTTTCCTCTCTAAATTTGTGACCGAAGTTATTCAAAAGCAGCCTGTACACAACCTCCAAAGCATGAGGAGTAAGTGAAGAGTTTTGACCAAAGTTTCTTGGCCACCTTAGTACTTTGAACTCCCTTTTAGGGTGGTACATTATTAGACCCTGTATTTTCTTAAGATTGTCACCAACATTGGTGACAGAATGCATTGAAATTGAACTATTAGTCAATATCCTGAAACTCAGAATCCCCCAAACTACCTGTATATTTTTCCATCAACTGGCCACTTAGGCATCTGAATAGCAATGACTGCCTAGAGTGTACACAAAAGGACATTTTCTAATGACTTGAAAAGGCTCAGGAGGCCCACAGAGCTTCCCTTCATGTTTTTTATCCTTGCAGGTCTGATAGACTTCTGTGGGAAGTGGAAGAAAGATATAAAGAGCCAGGCATGATGGTGCACACTTGTAATCCCAGCAGATTAGCTCCGGAGGCTGAGGCAGGAGGATTTTAAGTCCAAGGCCAACCTTGGCAATTTAGTGAGGCCATAGGTAACTTAGTAAGACCCCATTCAAAATTTTAAAAAGGGACAGGGATGTGGCTCAGGGGTTAAGCACCCCTGAGTTTGATCCATGGTACCAAAAATAAAGAGAAGAGAAACAATGTGGACACAGCTATTTGCACAGTTTCTCTGTCAGTCTAGAATTGCTGATAACCTATATGTGTAACCTTAATAATATTTTGCAAGAAAGGGACATCACAGAATATAGTTCCTAAAAAGATCTTTGATAGCATCCTATTGCAGGTAACTGCCAACGGGACAACTTGAGCATAGCCCATGGTACAGAGAGTATTTGTCTTGGAATGAGGGAACCCTGGAGAATCAAGAAAGGGTAGGCCAGACACAGCACAGTGATGCGCTTCTGTAATCCCAGTGACTCAGGAAACTGCAGCAGGAGGATCACAAATTCGAGGCCAGCCTCGGGAACTTAGCAAGACCCTTTATTTTATTTCAGAATAAAACATGGAGGGCTGGGGATGTAGCTCAGTGGTAGAACCCCTCTACCCAAGAAAAGGGAGGTTGACCTGGGACCTGAAGTAGTGATGCAAGCAGCCCACAGTCAGATCACCTGTCCTTTATATGTCTATGGCACTCTCAGAATTCACAGGCATTTGGTGGACATGGAGTGAAGCAAAGCCAGAAGCCCCATTCTACTTTGGAATAAAGCTGAAGTGAGAAACTCAGCTATGTGTTAAGAAGAGACATCTTCCCTGCTTCTTTAGAGCAGGACCTGTATTGAGTTACAGAACATGGGTGTGTGGGTGCTTGTAAAAAGAGACAAAGTTTTCCTCTGCTCTCTTCGAATTTTAAGCAGGCAGTTAAATGTTCATGCTTGGAGGGAACTCACTTTTTCTTAAATTCAAGGGCAAGTAATAAGAGATTTCTCTGGGAAAAAGAGTCTTAGGAGCCGGGCATGGTGGTGAGTAGTAAGAACTTAAGCGGTCTGTACTGTGCCACTTAGTGATGACCAGAGTATGGCAGGTCATTTGCTAAGAAAAGTGCATAGGGACGTGAGGGTGACATGACAGCAATATCTGTCACCAATTGATCCCCAGGGTTGGTTTGGCTGATCTGGCTGGCTAAGCAGGTGTCCCCTTCCTCACTGCTCCATGTGTATCCCTCCCAAAGATGTGCACTTGGTCAATGAGAATGACCTTCCCTGATAGAGGAAGAACCTTCTTCAGTCAAGGGTATATGGGTAGCAAGCAGCACGCCCCTACCAGGACCTCCCAGCCAGCTCTTTGATAAGAAAAGCCACCAGGTGGCCACATACAAACTGGTCATAACTGCCACTTACTGATGTCTCCTGTGTGCCAGGCATTTAAATCCTCTTTCCAATGACCTTCCAAATATTAAGAATGTGGCTGCTGTGTCATTTCACAGTTTCTGAATCTCACACAAGGGCATGAGTTATCCTAACATTAACTCTGCGGGGAAGGAATTCTGGGGCATGTCTTTCCAACTTAGCCAAGTTTCTACATTACAAATGTACCAATCATCTAAGCTTTCCTTGAGGCATTAAATATTTCTGGCCTGAGTCTGTGTTTTCCTAAGATAACTCCTTGTTATTTCCCATAGCCAAGCATGGTGCACACCTGTAATCCCAGCTACTTGGGAAGCTGAGGCAGGAAGATCACAAGTTTGAGGCCAGCCTGGGCAATATAGCAAGACTCTGTCTTTAAAAAAAAAAAAAAATCAAGTTTTGGATTTTTTTTTTAGTTGTAGATGAACATGATAGATTTATTTTATTTATTTATTTTTAATCTTGCCAACTGATTTGATGATCTTGTATTATCTGCTCACAACCATGTTTTCACCCTGAGGACTTCTGATTTTTTGGTTTTCAGTCTAAAAAGTTAAGCCTACATGTATACCTCTGTAGGTACCAATGTCTTCCCAAAGAAGACACTAGCCTGTGCATGTAGTTAATAAAATGTGACTCACCTCCCTGAGGGATCCAGGAATTCATTCATTGCTTCACTCATCGCCATCCCCAGCACCCAACTCACCCCCTCACCATCCTAATCTAGTAGATACTCAGTGACTTGGCTTCCTGTCCTTATAAGGTAGCCTCTTGTCTTTCAGTGGCCCTTCATTACTATCACTTTTCTTGAGATGTGGAGGTCAGAATCACAGCATATTCTAGTTGTCCCTGCAGCCTGATTTTGTGTCTTGAATTCCTTTCCAAGTAATATACCCATAGCAACTTGACTTTGGGAGAACCGTAACTACAAAATGTGCCCATGGTCTTCGGGCTACATGGATCTTAAATCTATTTCCAGGCACAACTGATAACAGTTTATAAGACTAAGCAGGTCAAATATGAAGTGGAGAGTTGTGTCATCTTTGGAGAAAAGGAGGACAGTATTTCACATGGTGTTTATCATGTCCCTGAAACGCTCCTCTGTTTTTGAGAACCTAGCCAAGCTAAGGGAACAGTGAGAGCAAGTCTGGGCCAGAATGTCCAGATAAATATTATCTCAAAGGACACAGGCTCTCTCATGCATGATGGGAATTAGGGCAAGTTCGTGTTATCTCTAGAAAGCTGCTTTGCATGCACACCAAGTTCCTTGGGATGTTGTCATACAGTGAGACAAAGGGACCTAATGTCACTGCTTCTGTAGCCTAACTTATAAGTCCTTCTCCCCACGGTAACTGGAGCAGAACTGAGGACTTTGTAGGGAGGAAGGTGCCAGTCATCCAGCTGCCAGGAGAGGTGTGGCATCGTGAGGGGTGGAGTTGTTGCCACTGGACCTTCCCCGTAAGCATTTTTTCAATAAAGTTCATGTTTTGCTCACAGTCTCTGGGTGTTTTCCTTGGTCTCAGCAACCTAGCCAGCTAGTCCCCAAACATGTTATAGCCCATCTGTTGTGAACTAGGCACTGTTTTAGGAGGTTAAGGCTAGGGCCTCTTGTGCTTGAGATCACAAATAGTAAACAATGAGGTGTGCAGAGGGCTGTGCCCTGGAGCATCTGCCATCTGCTAGTGATACCTACAAAATTAGGGACCAGAGCAAGAAACTCACTTCAGCCTCTCCAGCTTTCCTGCTCATTCAGTCTTACTGCAGCCAGAATCCACCCACAGCTCACTCCAGATGGGCTGTGCTGTGCCAGCCCCCGTGACACCTCCCACTCCATACTCCCCTCCTGGCATCTGGGCTGCAGAAGGTGCCCTGATGTGAAATACTCCCAGCCCTATCTCGAGCCTCTTACCCGGACCCAGCCTGGGTGGTTTCTCCTAGTTGCAAAATCTTAATGTCCTTGGAACAGAGCCTACTCTTCCAAGGCAACCCAAGCAGAAGTCTGGGGCACAGGGAGCCACTCCCTCAAGTCCATTTTTCACTTATCTGGCCAGTGGATGCCCACTGAAAACACCATTTCCTTTAATTACAAAGCAAATAGCAGGTACATCACGCCCAATGCTGTTGATCACAGGGTCACTGGGAAGTTTCAAGGAAATGTTTTTCATGTCTTAATTAGAACAACCTCCCTTAGAAAAGTGTCACTTCCTGACTATTTACTCTCCCACCTGCAGTAAAAAACAGCTGAGTGGGCTAGTCAGTGTTCTCTCCCGTACCTCTCCCTCCCCCCTTTCTCTCTCTCTCTCTCTCTCTCTCTCTCTCTCTCTCTCTCTCTCTCTCTCTCTCTCTCTCCCTCTCTCTCTGACACACACACACACACACACACACACACAAGTGTGGAGACACACAGTCATGCTGGGTTTCTGAGCTCTCTCTGAACCCAGCTGTATCTTGTTGACAAGGGGCAGGTGGTAATAAGACTGCACCGGTTGGCACCTTTCAGTTATCAATCTTGAGAATAGGTCAACAAACTGCCACTTTCAGGCTGGGAGTCTGAGCCTCTGAACCAAGTTACTGTGGGACAACCTGAGTTGGCTAGAGATGGTCAAGAGCAGACTTGCCAAAGTCAGAACTCCACGTTTCTGTAGTGTGACTTTCTGGTGCCATCTCCAAAATGGGGCCCTCAGAAGGTCCTCCAGGGGTTCCTGAGAGGTCTCCAAAAGCCTCTGATGTTTGTCATGAGCACTAGATCAAGTCCAACTCTGTTTATAGGAAGTGGTTTTGGTCAAATCACTTCCTCTTGAACTTCAGTTT